ATAAAACTTTAATAAAAAAAATTTACAAAAAGCTGTTTGAAGATTAGCTTGAAATGTTTGAAAAGATTTTTTTTTTTTACAAAAATGATAAGTGGGAAGTTTATATAGACAAAGGAACTTACACGGAGTTAACCCGGGTGTCGTGCAGGTCAGGACCGTAAAGACATAAAGAAGGTTAAGGAACCAATATATCAAATCAAGGGGTGCTTACGCAACCTTCGATGACGTGGACACGTTGCAATGTCGCACATAACATAAATAAGTTGATACAATGACTATCTCTCGTGCACACTTTTGCTCGATAATTCTAGCTTATGATTGATTGAGTTTACGTAATATGAGATACAAAGTCACATCGATATATATAGCAAATACAAAAGAGACATTTCTGATCAACTCTTATCTCGAGGGGTGGAGGCTACTGCGTTCAAAAAATTCGTAGATTTAGATCACTTGTTTAGTAATTCTAATGTTGTTACAAGAATTGAAAGTTTATAGGTAATCTTTAGAGCGCACTCTGGAATATCCGGAGTATTATTAATAATATCGGTACAGACCGTCTCTATCCGATTCGTCAAGAATGATTTCGGTGTTGCATATATAGTACGTAGTATAGTCGGAAATACAAAAGAAGGTATGTAGGATTTAAAAAAGACAAGTGTATGACATATTGTACGTATAATGATATATATATATATGTATTATATTACGTACGTACGTACGTACGTATACTTATTACGTACCAGGTACGTACGTATATCAGATATAGATATCAGATATAGATATATATAGTAGGTTATATCGTAGGTTATACGTACAGTACTATCTACGGATAGTTAAGGTTAGGATTAGGACTATACTTCATGTTAGCATGTTAAGATTATGGTTAGAGTATAGGTTTATGTGAACAGTTCAAGTGTTAGTCTAGAGCCTAGTATAATATTAACCTGACTATAATATTACTTTATACAGGATTCGAATGATTTAGTTTCTTTGATCTTACTATGCAACTTACCTATAACGATAATCATGGATTAATTTTTTAATTTGATAGCATAGCATTTAGGTTTGTTCAAATATAAGAGAATTATAAGTTTGATTTTTAGTAATCTTTATTTACTTATATAATTAATTGGATCACGATTTGCTATTTAATGTATTTCAATCAGTACTTTTCTGATTTTATATTGTCAAATAAAATTATGGTTTTGCTTTCATAATGCCTCCAGATTAAAACAAAAGAAAATGATATCAAATAATATTAATCATCCAACCATAACAAGTTTTAAGTACATTAAACAACGAAAAATGTACAATATTTTGTCAATGTTCAAATTTACCTTCCTAGATGATATGAATATTTTATTTTGCACAAATATTACAAATATGGAAAAATTATAATATTGATATTATTTGTTATAACGATCTGTCGAATAATCATTAATAATAAAAAAATAGGTTTTATTATATCAGCCGAAAAATCATTTTAAAACAGTTGTAAATAATATGCCAGCTTAAACTGACTTACTTGAGCCGACTTGAGTCAACTTACTTGAGCTTGCTTAAACCGATCCCATCCCTACTTATTATGGTCTAAAAGCGGCTGTAGCCTTCAAGCAGGCAATGCGCCTGTTATCTGGAGTATACACTTGGACATCAACAAAATATTTTCCCTATAATCAGAAAATATATATATATATATCATTCATATTTAATTTTGAATGCAAGTTTTTAATAAATAATTATTTATATTACCGGAGGAATTTCCTTTGGCAGCTCGACGGTATGCTCTAAGGTTTGTTTACCCTCTTCTAATGGACAAGTCTTATCCACCTTTTCGACTTGCTCACACAAGTCAAGTCTCTTCTGTAAAAGCTTGATCATGCCGAACTTGACAATCAAGTTAATATAACTGCCTTCCATAACACGTTCAGATAAATATCCGACGGCACTAATGTGAAGTTCATGGCCTTTTTCCGGAGGGTCTGGAGTTATCTTGAGGTATTCAAGCTGAAGTATATCATCAGCGTTTCCGCAATCATGAATTGTTTCAGTAGTAGTCTTTGGCGGCTGAAATTGTATCAAGACTTGGTCATTAAATTCATTGAATTCAAATTCATTTCTTCGATGAATAATATTTGCGTGAGCAAATACTATGAGAAACGCCCAAATGACAATGAAGCTTTTCAACATTATAGTAAAAAATAGTAAAGGAAATAAAATGTTTATTATTAATTTAGCGGTTAAATTTATAT